GAGTAGAAGTAAAAAGTAGACTGAAAAATAATTACTCAAGTAAAGTACAGAAACACAAAAATTCTACTTAAGTACAGTAACAAAGTATTTGTATTAGTTACTTTACTACTCTGCTTAAAGGGATTTTTTTTTCTCTGCACGTAACCTTGTTACTGTCGCAGACTGCTCATGGTGAGGTCATCAGCAGGCGCCAGAGCGTGGAGCGCATGACGGAGCTGCAGCAGTCCAAGTATCAGGACCTTCAAGCTGGTCTCCCATCAGAGCTCAGCATGCAGTTAGCTGAGGTGGCTCTGGCTCTGGGTTCTGCTGAAGATCAGGTAATGGCTTCGTTTAGCTCCCTTTCTTCTTGCCGCAGTAAATCAATAAAAGATTTGAATTACGGTTTTTTTTTTCTTCTGTTTTTATGCAACAACTTTAGGTACAAGCAAGGGAAAGGGAAGTCCAGCAGACCAGGGATGTGAAGGAGGACTTCAGCTGCAGACTTCAGGACATCGAGGCAAAGCTGAAGACCATCGCTGTGAAACTGGAAGACAAGGGCGCTGACCTGGAGGAGGCCAAAGAAGAGACCAGAGTAATAAAACAGACAGATTGAGTAATTAGCGAGCAATTAACCCCCAGTTGAAATGGCCATTCGTTTTGCAGGTGTTGGGGTTAATGAGTGTGTGAGAGTTGGAATGACACGAACTGAATTCTGACCCACTTTTAATAGGAGCGATCCAAATGGGAGCTGTAGCCTCATGTTTTTCATCTTGCTTCTCTAAGTTTTTATCTGTAAACAAAAAGTCTTGGATTTAACAACATCATTTTCTGTTTGGAGAACATTTTATCCATCTAAATACGGAAGAATCTAAGCTTTGTCTGGTTCTCAACTTCATATTAAAGGGGACATATCGTGCAAAATGCACTTTTTTAACTGTTAAATGCATTTTGTTGWGGACTTGGAGTCTCTATGAGTGCAGAAAATTTGAGTTTAGTCTCTCCTGGTGCTGCAAAGATGTCTTTATATTCTGTTTGGGTCAGATTTTTCAACCTTTTCAGTTTTCTCTATTTTCTATTACGTTTTCTGAGCTCTTACATCAAATTAGCTGCGATGGAATTGCCAACTTAGTTTTTGTCTTTTTGTTTCCTCCAGGCTCTTTGTGGAGAATGTGAATYCTGTAGTAGCTCTCTGGCGGAGTTGGGAGCTGCCGTTCAGGAGTTTGGAGAGCAGAACCCTCTGCTGTGTAAGCAGCTCGGAGACGCTGTAGCTAAACTGACGGAAGTGCAGCACCACTGCACTCAGCAGGCACAGGGAAAGGCCAACAGGCTCAAGAAGGTGAGTCATTTCATGGCAACTTTTAATAGAGTCCAGCCTCTCTGGAAGAGTTTTATTTCTTGCCTGTCAACTGTTGCAAATATTGTGTGGATGCGTTATATTGAGATGATCCATTTTTCTTCTGTACATTTTTTGGCACGTATCTCGTTCCATAACTGTTGTGCTATTTCAACACTATATATATATATATATAT